AGCCCTCGCGCTCTGCGTGCGCCCAGGGGCGCGCGGGCTGCGGCGGGGCTGCGGAGGCGCCCCCGAAGCTGCGAAACTCCGCGACCCCGTTTCCTTTTCAGCCGGGAACTCGGAGGGGGACGAAGCTGCTCTTCCGGCAGTCAGGGCGCTCTCGCTTCTGAAATGCCTCCGATTTGGTATTTAATGACTTTTGGGGCTTTGAGCCAAGAATCCAGTTTCTTATTTTCCTACCAGGGCACCATTCTCTCTCTCTCTCTCTCTCTCTCTCTCTCTCTGCCATCTGAGTTCGCAGCACGTGCTGAACCACAAACCGTGGTTTGTAATCCATGGTGGCTTTGCTTCCTTGTAAGTCACAGGTGTGGGTTTGGCCCCGGGTGACCCTCCTCCCTGTATGGCTGTCCTGCGTGAGGGAGAGCATTCGGGTCCTCAGGGACCCTGGATCCAGGGGGGCCTCTTCTCCCAATCCCCGCTTGGCCAAGGTGATGCACCACCTTTGGCGGAAGTCCCGCAAAACTGTGGCAGGCAGCCCAAAAGCTGTTGGCCTTTGGTGCTCCCTGAGTTGTTTCTTTTCCTGCAGATCTTTGGTTGCTGGGGCAGGGAACACCTCGGGCACTCAGTCAGGGGGTAACCTGCCTCGCCAGGCAGACCTCAGGAAAGGCGAGGACAAGCTCACCTGCAGGAGGCGGCCGAGAGTCACCAGGGGTGTCTTGGGGGTGTCTTTGGGGAAGGGAGAGTCGCTTCCTACGCTACCTCCCAGTTCCTGTCCCCAGGCGTTGCAGTGGGACCGAGCTGCTCTCCAGCCGCCTCCTGGGTGCTCTTGGATCCGTCCCAAACCGAGCTGCGAGCAGGTGGCCCATCGCCAGGCCACCGAGATCTCCCTTTGGACAGTGGTTGCAGCCATGCAAGCAATGGAGAGGAAGGTGGACGTCCACGCCGGGCAGCTGCGCACGCTGGAGCGTCGGGTGGGGCTGGCCGAGAAGAAAATCTCTGGGGCGGAGAAAGCGGTGGCCGAGTTCAGCCCTCACCTGGATGCTCTGGGGACGCTGATCCAGGCCTACGGGCGGCTGCAGAGGCGGCTGGAGAACATGGAGAACTTACTCAAGAACCAGAACTTCTGGGTCCTCAGTCTCCCTCCGGGCTCCAGAGGAGAAACCCCCCAGGTCAGAGGGCTGGGATGGAGACCCACCAATCTTGGCTTAGCCTTAGTCTCAAGTGGGGTGGGGTGTTTGCAGATCAGGCCGTTGCAGGAAGGCAGCAGGGCTGTTAGGAGGGTCTGGAACCCAGCTCTTGCTTTAAGCCAGAAGAGCGTCAGATGTGCATAGCGTTGTCTTCACCTGGGTTTAACACGTTACGTGAACTCAGCATTGGGTTTGTTGTACACCACTGGTGTTCCTTAGACAATAGCCTGGTGTTTCTCAATCTTGGCAACTTGAAGACGTTCCACAGCTGGCTGAGGAATTCTGGGAGTTGCAGTCCACACGTCTTCAAGTTGCCAAGATTGAGAAATACTGCAGTAGCCTCTTAATGTTCTTGATTCTTGGATCCTGTTCACAGCTTAGAAGAAACCGGGAACTTCCCATTTGTTCATTTGATTTATATCCCACATTTTGTGTAGGAGCTCAAGATGGGGTACATAGCGCCTCCCTCCTATTTTTTCTCAGAGCAGCAACCTTGTGAGGCAGGCTGGCCTGAGGGAAAGCAACTGGCCTTATGCACACGAGGACACATTTTAATATCTTAATGCCTTTAGTACATCTCAAAAGTACTTGTAATGTTCCTTTAAGAGAGGTTGTTGTGGTCGTGGTGCTGCCCATATTGGTGAGGGAGGCCCAGAAAGACTTCCTCACTTCCTAGTGCTGAAACGTGAAGGTGGCCTGTAAGGTGGAGGCCTTTAACGATGCACCAGCGTGGCCACATCCAGCCTGCTCCCAGGGCCACAGGGAGCCTCTTCAGCCGCTAGCTGAGCGTTTTTGACTAGCCTTGATTTTAGACGCTGCTTCCTGCGGGCTGAACGTGGCTCTGGGTTTGCTGGGTTTGCCTCTGGGTTGGCATGCCACCCACAGCCCGTGTGGGGGCTAAGATGCGGGGCATGTGCCTTCGCAACTGATCTGGGTTCTCCCGGCTTCTGTTTCCAGGTTCCAGTGAACTTTGATGACGTCTCGGTCTACTTCTCAGAGCAGGAGTGGGAGAACCTGGACCAGGGGCAGAAGGAGGTCCACAAGAATTACGAGTCCCTGGTTTCAATGGGTAAAGAGAATCTGAAGCCGTTTGGAAAGCGGTGTGAGTTGTGTGTGTGCCAAGTCTTGGGGGTGGCGGAAATAAATCAGGTCTAGATCTTACCGTACGTGCAAACGTGGACCTGGCCTGATGCTTTGAGATGATGATGACGATGAGCATTTGGACGTCATAGGAATGGGCAGAATCTCAACTTACCAACTGCAGAAAACTGCATTACTTGGAACGATGCACGTGTGATGACACCTTAGCTATCTTAGATTCTCTGGAAGGGCCTGATGGTCAGAAGGACCAAATCCAGTGAGAACTATCTGGTGGGCTGTGTCGACAGCACTCATAAAAGGTCATTCAGATGCTGCACCCAAAGATGCAGGTTCTGCTATTGACACAAGCCGTGCAGGGCAGTTGGGGAACCATTCACCCTTGTGCCAGCCCATTCAGTGCCCGGTTCCCCTGTGGTGCCTGGGGCCTTGAACCGATGAGGAATTTCTGTGGCCTTTCCTTTCCTCTCTTCCCCCGCCCCCCTTCCAGATTATGCTACTTCCAAGCCTGGTGCGTTGTCCCAGACCGAAAGTGGAAAAGCTTTAAGTGGCGAGAGTCGGGGGCCCTCTGGAGAAGCAGAAGACACCCAGCAAGGCAGTGCAGGTAATTCCTTATCCCCCACCCCCCACCCCCAGGCTGGAAGCTGGCATACGGTTTGGCAGGGCAGGGCAACGAGAGGAGGAGGGAATAACGCATATTTTAATTAGCATCTGATTTGCCCCGGGCTGAAGGTGTGGGGTGGAGAGTTAATTTCCAAATCCCGTCCAGTGCTGCCATTTTGGCGACACCCCCAAAGCGAGCAAAGGTATCTTTGAGCAGGGCATCTGCACGGAAGTGGAAAAATCCCAGGGTACCTTTCCTCTTAAGAGCAGAGGTGGGTAATACCGTTTCTTTTCTGCGTGCGAAATTGCTCCCACCATCACAGGCCAGTGGGATTCAGCAGAAGGAGATGCACCCGTGATAAGTGCCCAGGTGAGCCAAAAACAGATGTACCAGCTGTGAAGGATGACAGCATTTGGGGTTCATCTGCTTCCCTCTGCAGAATTCCCTTAACTGATTGTTCAGTTTTGTGTCCATAAACCTTTGTTTCAGGCTTAGTGAGGGCAGCTGGCAGGTAGGCAAGCTAACAGGGTTGCTGCAGCTTTCAATTGGTCTGAAGCATAACACAGCCTGGTACATTCAGCCACTGAATTTTGCTACGGGGAGTCCTCGTTTAGCGACTGCTTTGTTTAGCGCCTGTTCGCAGTTATGACGGTGATGAAAAAGTAACTTTGCAACCAGTCTTCGCATTTAGGACCGTCGCAGGCCTGTAAAGCAAAGGAAAGCAAAGTCTGATCATAAGCACAGTCGTGGTTTCACTGAGCGACTGCTTCGCTTAACAACCAAGTTGCTGCTCCTGATTGTGGTCACTAAATGAGGACTACCTGTACTGGGGAGAAGTTAACCAGTGAAGTAGATTCTGGTTAATAATAATGGAGAGCAAGAGGAGACATCTATCTAGATGCTGAGATATTTGGATTTTACAGCAGTTAAAACTGTCAGAATTAGTCTGGGCTCATCCCATGTCCTACCAGTCATTCCACAGCGGTCTGAATCTTGTGATAATTCCCATTTTATACATAACTTCTATATTATTTGTGTACATATTTACCCATTTGACAGGATGATCTTTTTGAATCTAAGTAATTCCTCAGAAAATTCCTGGGCAAAAAGTCGCGACTCTTGCTTTTAAGCATAGAAAGCATTGGAAACTATCTTGAAAGCGCGTGCCAAATGGTGTCTGTTTTTAGATTTATATCTGAGACTGTAATTTAAAATAAGAATATTCCTAATTTAATTTAATTTAATTTAATT